AATATGAAAGTTGAGTAGCTTATTACCACAGTTTCTGAAACTTCAGGTAATCCAATGTTCTCAAGAATGGGTCATCTTCCTTCTGAGCGTTTGCTGTAGGAGGACCTTGTGCTGGTGCTGAGTCATCACAGTGACCTCACCCAAGAGCTAACACACACTGTGCATTTAAGATGGGTCTGTTGTTCCTTGGGTGTTTGAGGCAGAAAAGTAGATTTTCCAGGTCCAGTTTATAAGTACATCTGTTACTTCCATAGCAATCCAGAAAACGAAATTAAGATACCAAATCTTCACATGAAATGTTTACTGATAGAAGTCTCATTTTTAAGAAAGAAAACAATAAAATAGCTTAGAATTAGGAGGATTCTCTAACTCAGTGCTTTATCACAACATCAGAAAGTAATTGAAGGTAATAATAAAACCCAAACTAGCCAACTGAATGCAAGCCACGTACTCCTTGTTACTTAGCAAACTGAGGCATGATTTCACGTGCACGGTGGGTTACCAGTAAGTATGTGTTTGATTATATCAAGGAAGCCGGGGTGGGACGGGGAGCAAACAGTGGCTGGGTAAGGAGCCAGGTCACGTTAGCTAGAGATGAGGGGTCCCCAGGGAGAGCTTGGAACGCATAGCTTCTTAGTTTTCATTTTGCTTCCATGGAAGCCTCTGGAATGAGAAAGTTGACGCATGAAAAACAGCAATTTAGAAAGTTAGAGTGGCACATTGGTAAAATGGATTGAAGCAGGGGGAGATAAATTACAGTTCTTCTTAGAGAGGTGGTTTTTCCCCTTCTTTATTCCTATTAAATGAGATAAGCACTTTGTTTACCTTTAATCTTATAAAATGCTGCTCAGTTTATGCTGCTTGAATTGTTACCTGCAGTATTTGCTTTAAAGTCATTGTAAAACATCATTTTACTTTTTCGCATGTTACTTTGAAAGTAATTCTGGTGTTGTTTTCTTGAACCTGCTTTCTCTCCCTGAATAGATTGTGCCTTTTGTGAATTGTGACCATTCTGTAATATTATGAGAATGGATGACACAGTGAAATATTTTATTCATTCCCTCAACTATCTCGTACCAATTTTCAGCCCAGTGATGTACAAAAACACAGATGCCCTCATTTGAAATGCTCTTGGAAAATCTTCCTTTATTCAGTGGCAGGGTGTAAAAGATAACGCGTTCATTTCAAGAAGTATGAAAATTAATTACTAAACAATGTGTGGCAGATTATCCGCCTAGCTGTTGACTGAAGACCGGGTTTTTAGAGGCTTTGCCCTCCTACCCTTCCTTCCTGCCCCAGGGTGGAGAGTCGGAGGTTGTAAGCTGCTTTCCTTCATGTCGGTCACCGCATCTGCTGACCGATCTGTGGAACCAAGGCACCAAGGCCAGCGTCCAGGGCCCACTCCACCCCGGGGCCTGCGTCTTCCTCTCAGAGCAGTCAGGACCATGCTGGTCCCCAGAGAAGCAGGGAAGTCCCAGCCCTGCAGCCCAGGGGGCGGCCAGGCTGAGAGCCCTGCAGCCCAGGGGCCTGGCCAACTTGGCCCCATGATGGAGAAGCCTCGTCCCAAGTGGCAGCTGCCACACCGAGTGCTTGTCAGTGCGGCCACTGCAGCGGAAGAGCGTGGGGAAGGCAAAGGACGCGCAGTGGCAGATCAGCACAGGGCCGGCGGGGATGGCTGTGCCAGGGGAGCCACGGCTGTGTCCGGGCTTCTGCGAGGACGTCCAGCGGCTCTCATTTGCAGGAGTCTTGTCTTGATCGTGGAGAAGAGCCGTGGGTCACCGTCTCCCTGCGGAACACCCTTTCCTACCTTACCATGGGAAGGCATTTGTTCAGTTCGGGGTGCACCAGTTCAGTGGGGTTTTGGTGAAGACAGAGTGAAAATGAGATCCGAAGCCAGCTATCCCATTCCTCTTTTAAGGAATCTGAAATTGATATTTTACCAATGATCAAATGAATAACAAATGGTTTTTAATGTGTCTATGAATTAAGAGTTTGCCATTGATACCTTTCAGCTGAATTTCCAATATATTGGCATGGTTTGGCCTTATAAATTAATAGTGGAATTTACATAACCGTCATTAGATTTTCACTTCTGGCTAACAGGTTTCTTCTATAAGTTGACTGTAAACAATCACAAAAGCTGATGTGCTATTGTACTATTATGATATCTTGAAGCCGTCTATTTCTTTCTGGCTTTGAATTGGGGGTGTAGTAAGCATAGGTAATGAAAAATATATCTTCTGTATTTAGGGCTATAGTCGTTATTGATGTTGTAGTGCTTAGCAAATGAATCATAAAAATTCAGGGCATGTAATGGGATGTCTAAGGTCATCATCACTGAATATTGGCTAATTACATAAATGATTTTCTCCAGGGTTTTAACAATAACAAGAATTGGATTACAGAGATATACTGTTCCTCATGAAATACAGAATTGGTGTTCCTTATCTAATTTTAGGGACTAAATTCTCTTTCACACTGATAAACTTGATTATGTGAATATTTTATTAGATGTTAAAATGATAAGACTTTAAAATTTGTGATTTCTTAAACATTTCTGGAATTAGCAGTAGGTCTATATTTTGGAGAAGAAAATAAACATGCATAATTGTTCACTAAAAATTACTACTTCAAGCTGCCAATAGTGGCGCGTGCCTGTTACTTCAGCAATGAGGGAGGCTGTGTTAGCAGGACTGTGAGTTCAAGGCCAGCCTGGAAAGCCTTGCCAGACTCAGCATCAAAACAGAATTCAAAAGGGCTGTGAACAGACCTCAATAGCAGAGAACTCACCCAGTGTTCTAGAGACCTTGGTTCAGCCCCCAGTACTACAAAAACAAAAACAAAAGAAGGAAAAAGAGATAGACATGGTCACTTTCACATAATGTTGAAAAGTGCTTCTTATTTTTATAAATGTTATCTACCCAAATTAATAACTAAACAATTTTTAAAGAGGTTGTTTGAGTGTGTTTCCTGGAATTTAGTAATACCTCGGAGATTTCCACCAATAATGATGTTAAACATTTATTTTAAAGTTTAAAATATAGACAGTATTTTTTTTTTATGAGCTGAATTCTCTATTAAAGATATCCTCAGGTTTGAGATAAGGTTGATTTCCACTGAGATAACATTTTCCTCTTGAGGTGGGCCAGGGACATTGCCCCCATGAAAATCATCATGTCTAGATATCAATGTTGCTTTATTTCATCTGAAAAATTCTGAATGGACTGTGTCTATTTCTGTGTGTCTTCAAAAGTAAAACAAAAATCAACTTGAAAGAACAATGCATATCCTCTTCTGTTTTGTAAAGGCCATTACTAAGTCAATATGTAAAATCATTTGGATAGCTACATTTGATACTGTAAATCTATTGTGAGTTATTTGCACAATTGAATTGAATGTGTAGTTTTTTAGACATAGGTAGGATTTCTGAGAAATACACAGTGTGATTATTTCTGACTAGATTGAAAGCTTACATTTGTATTATGGTATAAATTAGTTATAAATTCTGTTTTATTGTATTCAGTTGCATTGTTTTCATCAGGCAATTTATCACATGGGTGTATGTGAAATTTCTACATTTATTAAATTTCAGATTATGTATTTCAAGCCCGAGCCAGACTTAAACATTTTTCCATAAGTGTAGCTTCGAGTAAACAAGCAATTTTAGTCCTGAAAATAGCTTCTGCTTCTGTCAACACGTTGTTTATTTTTTCTCTGAGATAAAAAGTTCAGTTTTCTGATATTTGTAGCAAGATAAAGTCAGTAAACAAGATTAATATAGTGTGGAAAAGGTTGTCAGCAGCCCGGCAAAGGAAATAAGTTGCCTGTACATAGAGCATACTGTAAACTGAATAAAAGTGTCAAGTCCACCATGAGATAATATGATCATGAACCTCTAACAAAGCATGACATAGGCTCGGTCGGCTTTTCTCATAGCCGCAGTGTAGAAAATGGATTACTGTCTTCCCGGGGTACCCCTGGAATAGCATGGACACCGCAGTCCGTGGTGAATGAGGATGTGGTCTTGGAGAGGATCCACACGCTCACCTGTGGGCTCCGGTGGGAGGCTGGGAATGGCATGGTCCAGGCACGTTCACCATCCTCGCAGTTCTCGGAATCCAAGAGGACGTGCTGGCACCCTCCCCACCCAGAGAAAAAAGTTTTGGGACATTTTCTCTTAGAGGATTTTTTTTTTTTTTTTTTTTTTTTTTTTTGCCTTTTTGCTAGCCTATCCTACTGAAATGGCACCAGCACAATTAAAGAGAGGCCTTGTTATTTTTCCAAGGGAGAACTTAAGGTCTGTCGCTGTGAATTTGTGCTTTGTCCTCTGGAGTGGTGGACTCATTGGTGCACAGTGCTGTTTTTTGTTCTCTTAGAGAACCTTTCTGTGATGAGATTCTTTAAAAATAAAAGTGGCATATAGTATGAAGAAACTTCTTGGACTATCCTTTACCAGGAATCTATTTATGTTTAGAAATGAAGGAGTAAAATATTATTCTCTTTGGCAAAATAAGGTTTTGTTCTGTGTAAGGTCATGGAGAAACTCAACCAAGGGCTGTTCAGCATCTCTTCAACCTAAGTTCTTTTATATATTGAAATTTGTACCTTGTAATACATATTACATACATTCAGAAATTCACTACAATACGTTTTTTCATGGAAATATCTGCTCAACAGTGATCTATCAAATTAAGCCTTGTTTTCATGTAAAATTAGATATACATGCAGAATTTGGAAATAATCATTATACGGTTTGTTAAAAAATGATATTTACATTGTTGTTAAGATGCTTTCACATGAGTCTTTAAATTCTAGCAGAGTAATGTGCTGGAGCAGAAAGATCATTCAGCGGTCAAATTACACTTTTGCTCTTGTCTGGGATTTAAGAACTGATGCGGACTCTCCATTTTAGAATGATGCCCTCCAGTAGAGATGCCCACATTGCCCACTGTTTCCGAAACCCAGCCTGTGACTTGTTCTCTGTTGAAAATCTCCAACAGGTGCCGACGCCGAGCCCAGCCAATAACAAGAGGATAGTGTACTTCTCCCCGGACTCGCATCACCACGAGTGAGTGTCCGTGTTTGTGTCTCTGTGCTGGGTGTGCTTTTTATTTCTTTGGGATACTGGTAACTACTGTTATTGAAAGTAGTTAACCTGTACCTGCCTTTTAAATCATATGCCAGTGTTAATCATGCAAGAGCAATTTTTTTTTTTTTTTTTTTTTTTGTCTTTTTCGTTTTTATCGGTACCAGGGATCAAACTCACGACTGCCTGCTTACAAGGCAGGTGCTTATGCCACTGAACTAAATCCCCAGCCCTGCAAGAGCAATTTGAATAAAGGATTTTTTGTTTTGTTTTTGTGGTTTGGGTTGTTTTGCTTTGTTCTGCTTTGCTTTGTTGAGTTTTGTTTCATTTGGTTTTGAGACAAGGTCTTTTGAGTTTTGCAGAATGACCTCGAATTTGCAGTCCTTTTGCCCCAGCCTTCCTGATACCTGGGTTCCCGGCCTATGTGCCACCAAAGCGTGCTAGGATTTTTAAATACATTCTTTTATTTGGGGTAGAGTTTGAGAGTCATGCACTATTGAATTACGTGTTCTCTGAAAACATTTACATTTTCCTAATACTGAGTTTTCCTAATGGCAAGCTGCTCCTGTGTACCCACTCTTGCTTTAGCCCTGTCCCAGCCCTTCGCCATGCAGACATTGTGTGGTTCTGTAGAGTTTCTCTCGTACCTGCACCTGCCTGCACTTGGTAGGCATAGTTAAAGGCTTGAAGGAACCAGAATGTATTTTCTTTTTAGCAACCAAAAGAGTGACTACTAGGTAATTTTTAAAAGGTAAACGATTTAACTTAACTTTGACTTTTGTAAATTACTGGTGAAATTTCCAGGTACTAACTCTTTTTTTTAAATACTTCTTACTTGAAAAACCTTAGGTTAGATGTTTTATTTCAGTGTCAGATGTCTCCTGTTTAGTTGGTTGAACCTGAGAAAGGCCATAAAGTATGGGAAGGCATGAATTAATTATTGAATACATTTTTTTCCAGCAAGCATTTCTGTTACAGTCCATTAGTTTCTATTTTTTATCCACTATTTAACAAATATAAAACACAAATTAATGTGAATAGATATGGCGGCATATCATAATCTTTTTTTGTCTTCCCTGTTTTTATTTTCCTATAAAACTTCTTTTCCTTTGGAATAAAAAATGCATTTCTTACCTAACACTGACAGCACAATGTTTATTTTCTTTTTAATTTTCTGTTTTGATGAAAAACAAAAACTCCAGCAAGCAGATTTAGAGCGATTCAAAAGCCAAAACCTTTGCTTGCTGAACTCAAGTGCTCTAAGGACAGACAAACGGCAACCTCTTTGGGGCTCTGTGGTCTCAGTGCCGCCACAGTGCCTGGTACACCATGGACAGTCCGAGATCGCTGCTGAATGAATAAAGGCCTGAAAGGATGAACTTACAATGAGAAGCTCAAGAGTCTGCAGTGTGTCAGTACTGCTCCTAAAAGAGCAGGGGTGAGCCCAGCCTCCCTCCTCCTTTCCCCCTCCCCACCCCCCACAGTGGGAAACCACAGTGGTTTCCCATCAGTTCAGTAGACCTCCAAGGGGTGGGACTTGGGACCCAGCACCCTCCTGTGCCTGCAGATCGCCACTCCCTCCACTCTGGGCTGGACACATTGGGATGACACCACTTCCTCCCATCTGGTGCTGCCGCCGGCTCTTCAGTGTCTCACTCTGACGCTTCCCATTTCTGGCTGCAGGGCTGCAGCAAAGCTCAGTTCCCCGTTCTATCATCACAGGATCCTGGTGAATCTTTCTGTCACTGGCTGTCCACCTTTCAGTCCCTACTTCTTAGTCCTGCTACTCACATTCAGCTATGGTCATCTTGTTAGCTCTGGTGAAATACCCAGTTGCCTACTACTAACGGAGGAGCTTCAGAACATTATAGACCCCCTCTACCACCTACCTCCAAACAGCTGATCCTTAATTCTCTTCCTCTCTAAGACCTTTGGGCTGGCTTTCTGGTTTACCCCATTCCCTTAGTGGAACCTGACTTCACTGCCCACTTTGTGCTGGGATTTTGCTCATGCATTCCCTCCTACCTGTATCCATCAAGATCCTGTTTGTTACTCCAGATTGTCGACAAGCTTTTTACTTATCAGAGCATACTAGGTGCTTAACAGGATATCCCTGATAGTGGCTTAAACTGAAGGGTTTTTTTCTCATTTTGTTTTCTCACAGAAGCCTAGGAAGAGAGTTTGTTTTGCTGCTGTCTCAATTGCTTTTCTTATTGCTGAGGTAAAATACCCAACACACAAACTTAAAGGAGGGAAAGTTTATTTAGCTCACAGTTTGTAGAGGTTTTAGTCCATAATCGGCTGAATCCAAAGTAGGGTAGCGTGGCAGATGGGCATCACAGAGGAGAAACACTTATGGTGGGCCGAAAGTAGCAAAATAAGGGACCTTAACCTCATCTTTCTGCCCTTTTTATAGTCTTGGCTACTGACATTAGGGCCATGCCAAACCAATGAGTGGACTAATTTAATAATCACACATCTTTAATCCCAGCATTGCACCACAAGTCAAAGTACTCTAGATTCAGCTATTTCTGAAAAACCCCACCTGTGGCCACCTGAGGCTTTGGGGAGACATTTAGATGCAAGCTGTAACAGCAGCTTGAAGATGTCATCCAGGGCTAGACTATTTCTGTTTCTCTAGCTACTGGTCGCAGTAGTCTGCCAGAGCTGCCATGACTGAATACTGAAACTCGGTGGCTTAAGCAGCAGAAATTTATTCTCACGGTTCTGGAGTTCAGAAGTCTGAGACCAACAGTACAGGGCCTGTAAGTTAAAAGTGTATGTAGCTGTGTGCCATGGTGTATGGCTGTAATCCTGCTACTCAGGAGGCTGAGCAGCAGGATTGTGAGTTCCAGGCTGGCATGGACAACTTAGACAGCCATCTCAAAATTAAAAAATAAAACTTTAAAAGTGTGTGCATGTACAATATAGAATGTGGGGAAAGCAGGCCATTTTAACAAAGCTCTCGTTCAGACAATGGGATACTTACTACCCAGCACAGCACAGCACAGCCCAGTCTGGCCAGCTGTCCCCTCTGCTCGTCCTGTCACTGATCCTCTTAAGACCAGGACTGATAGGGCCATGATAGATTCTCTGAGCACCACACAGCTGCAGCAGTCCATTCGTTTCTTAGGAGTCAGATGCAGACCGTTGGTTTATCTGGATGCTAGGGTTGCTTTAAGAATTTAATGGGTTTTTGTTGTGTTTGTTTTGTGATTCGATCCCAGCAGCCTGCCTGTTAGCCTGGCTGCTTCATGTGTTCTTACAGGAAGGGCCACTGAGTTGACCAGGGTCTGCTCTTAGGCACTTGGAATCAGTGGCTCTGAGAAACCTTCATGGTAGGCTCATCCGTGTTGTCACAAACCCGATGGAGGAGTCCTGAGGCCCAAAGTAGAGCCCTCATCCTGGCAGTCAGGCCACGTGTGACATCTAGCTTCCACACTGCTGCTTGCTTCACAGACCTGGTTCTCCAAACTGCACTTCCCTCATGGTGAGACTTGCCTCCCATTGAGAGTGTGTTATAAGCTCTTTTTAGAGATCTGTATTTCCGTGCCTGTCTTCAAGTCTGGCCCTGATCCAGGGAATGCGAATGGGGAGTGGCCTGGAGTACTCACTCTTGGCCAGAAGGCAGGAGACGACGTGCCTGAAATGGTCATCTTATATATACAAGCAACTTTGTTCAGATACACATAGCACCCATGCCTTACCTTAGGTTGGTGCTCTTTTAAGGACCAGTGGGTCTCTCTGCCTTCCAACTGACCCCTTGGGGGAAATGTTCTTATCATCTCCTTTGGCAGAAGAAGGCATATGGTCGGTGTACACGGTATGGCTGGAGATAGTTGGAGATGCTCTGTGTGTTTCTCCTTCTCTCCGGCGGCAGGAAGTGGGCCCCTCCTCCCTAACACAGGCACATGACATACAATCTTTTCTTTTCATTTCTTTTGTTGTTTAATTTAGTATCTCACAGAAGGCAAACCAAGGAATTCATATCTTCTGGTCATACAAATAATTTCCAAGGATTTATAGTCACCAGTAGTTTTTAAAGCATTTTACAAGTTGTGTAGTGGTTTGTAACTTGATTCTTGTAGCCTCTGGTACATGAGTAAAAATACTCAATCTAAAATTGTTGTGTGACGTTTGACACCAAATTCTGGAGTATTTCAGATAATTAAGTGACTCACTGCTGGAACTAATCTCCCTTTATTTCCATTTATCAATTCATGCAGCAGGACTTCTGATTACTCAAATCTATAAAAATGAAAGATAAGAATAGTATTGATGCTAAAAATCTTGTATTTTATGGTGGATACAAGAAATAACTTTGGAGAAAAGCTTGTTAATGATTAATGAAGTAAAATTTTTTATATTTAACATCAAAATCTAGTTCTGCTGTTCAATTAATTGAATATAATTGGTAATCTTTTTTAGACCTTAATAGCTGGTTGTTATCAACTACTAACAATTGTTATTAGATATACATTTCAAAGTAATTTTTAGCTAAATAGTCTTGCAGTCACAGATTTTTTAAAAAGAAATTTTGTGAATTTATATATAAATATATATTTGTAGAATATGATAGGTAATTAATAAAGGCTTCAGAGCATAAAAATATGTTAGAATAAAATTCCTTAAGGAAGTAAATTGGAAATAAGAGTTGAAGGAGAAAAATCAGCCTTATAGAATTTTGAATAATTACCACATACCTGTTGCATTTCCTTTCCAAGCGACAGTGTGGAGACTGTCATGATCTTTGAGCCTCTATTGGGTCAGGATTGTGAGTTCTCCTGCAGGCGGGTGGTGGAAATTGTTCTCAAAGGCAGCAACTGAACACTTGTTGAGTGTGATTGACAGTGGGCTCAAATAAACTTGGCTGCTGCCCCGTCCAGCCACCTGATTTTTAGAGATGAGAACGGGAGGCTCAGCAAGGCTCAGTCACTTGCTTCAGCCCATCCTTAGTTTCCAGGGCAGGTGCCCACCAGAAA